AGCTGGTGGGGGATGGGGACAGCCAAGGAAGCAATCCAGGGGGCTGAGGGAGCAAGCGGGGGTGGTAGCCCCTGCGGGGGCAGCAAAACATATATTCATGTATTCATGAATTCATTAAACATGTATTTAGAATTCACTTTATTATTATGATAGAGATGCTGGTAGTCTTCCAAATTGCTTTAACACTGTAGATATATCAGTAAAACATTGCCCAACTGATCATAGTCTCTCATACTCTCTCTATAGTAGTCTTTTGTTTGAATTGTGGAGGAACATGGATTTTGGGGTATATTAGAGTGACTTTGGGATTTTTTTATCAGAGATTTTTCAGTTTTCAAATAGTGAACACCAGAATTCGTGCTAGGGAGGCAAGTAGCAGGACCCTGCCTGCTCAGAGCTGGCACTTTGGACCCAGCTGACTGTGGCTGAACTCCTGGCCAACTGGGGCCAGAAGGACATGTTTTGACAGTTCAAAGCAGGCCACCACGCTGGAAACATCTTCCAGGTGACAGCTGCCCAGATGGCCGGGCAGGGGCACACATGGCAGTAGTGCCACACAAAGGCCAGCTCTGCAGCCACAGCACACTGGCAGCTGACCCAGAGGGGCAGATGCCTCTACTGCCTGTGCAGTCCCAATCTGGGTGTGGCAAGCATGCAGCAAGTCACAGCCAGGCAGCAGCCCCCACTGCCAGACTGCCGTAGAGGGTGCAGGGAACTCTCAGGCCTACTTCAGCACCACAAACTCACTGTTTTGCTTATGTTGTGCACCCCTCATCTACATCATCCCATCACCTACTTTTACCAAACCTTGCAACAACCCAGAAGATAGGTAAATACTATCACTTTTACAAATGGGGAAAGTAAACATGTGTTAAAACCTCTGTTCTGGATCTTTTTGGGACAGATACTCCCTTATTCAGACCCAGTTCCAGAGGCATCTTCCAAGTGCTATAGGGACTTCTATTCACCTTTTAAGTGCAGCCTTCACAATCCATATTTTTAAGAGGAGAAGCTTACAGTAGCAAGTAATCTGACCACAGACTTGTGACTTAAGTACGGCCATGTAGTAAAGGCTAAAGCATCTTGTTAAAAAAATGAACAAATGCACTGTGCAATGTAATCACATACATTTTCTTCAACAAATTAAATTAACTATGCTGCTGCAGTGAGGTGTCCTGGCAGTGATGGGACCAAGCACAGTCCACTGCCTGCCCCTGCTGGCATGGTGTGAGGCTGCCTGGGCTTGTCCTCAGCAGCTGCTCTCAGGCAGAGACTGAAGGTTGAACAGGTGGGGTATGGGTGCAGGTAGGCCCCAGGAACTAGCTGAGTTACAAGGCTCTAGGTGCACCTCAGTGTTGGGGTGGACACGACCTACTCGTGTCTCACACCAGCTCTGAAGCCTCAACAGAGATAGGAGGACCGGTTGGGGGAGGGAGAGGGGGAAGGGCAGTGTAAGACCTGATCCTTCCTCCTGCCGGGAGGGGGCGCAGAACGGCTGGGAAAGGCCCAGACACGATTATACAGCGGGGATCTCCCCCGGGCTCCGCCACGTGCTCGCCCACGTGACAATGACGTCGTCCGTTCCACACGGGGCGCCGTGCGCCCTGCCACGAGCACGAAGGGCGGGGCTGCCCCCCGCACGGAGCCTCGCCCCTCTCACATGTCTCAAAACACCACTGAGGCCCGCCCCCGCCCTTCCCCGACAGCCCGCGCCGCCGAGGCCCGTCCACCGGCGGGTGGAAGCCCGGCGACGCTCGGCTGCGCTGTGCCCTGGGCCGGAGCTGCAAGACGAGCAGCAGTCCCAGCTGAGTCCACCTGACAGGCAGAACGGACGCTAGGGACTGAGGGACTGCTATTGCTTGCGTCACTTCCGGCTGCAGCAACGCCCTCTGCTTGTTCCAGCCCTCGCGAGAATTGCCGCCTCCTTCACGCGAGATCTGCTGGCTCACCCGGCCGCTTCGGCCGAACCCCTTCGGCAATTTCCGTCAGCGCCAGGCTCAATCAATCGGCGGCGGGAGCGCATCGATGAGCGCTCGCCCCGCGCGGCCTCCGTGCGGGGGCGGCCCGGGAGGGCGGACGCGGGGGCCCGCAGAGCAGTTT